CCCTCCCCCCCCCCGGAAAAATGGAAACTTTTGGAATTTTCCCCCCCATAAATTTCCCATCTCTAACTGGATCCAGTAGGTTTCAGACAGAACTTTCCCCTGCCTGCTTGAGGGTACTAGGACACGGTGCCCTATACCTGGCACTATAGGCTGCATCCTGCCTTAGGGAACACCGTTTGTTGGTCCAGCACTCTGGAAAGGGCGGCTCACCGGGACCCTCCTCCGTCCACTCAGAAAAGGTTACGTTCGAGCCTAAAAGCTCTCAAGAGCTCAAGCTGTGCTCCTCATCTTTCTCCAGGGGTGCGGGCGAACTTTATTTTATGTTTATTTTCTCGTGGGGAGCGGAAGAGTGCGCCGCTCCTTCTCTCTTTTGGCGACCTTTGCAAACGGCAGCGCCGGCTTTTTGCAGCCCTTCAGCGACAGCCGTGGCGCGCCGAGACGGAAGGGAGCCATAAGAGGTCGGCGGCCGAATCTTTTCCTGTGGCAACGGATAATGGGGCAGCCGGATCCATCTGTCTAGAATGCACTCCCGCTATTCTGCGCTAGGCTTTTGCTCGCGCAATATTAACACAGTAAAGGAAAACACACACACAGACACACAACGCTATTCATTTAATGCAAAACCTGGGCCTCCACTGCCCACAACCCGCCGAGCGTACGCAACATCTCCTTCACTACAGATTAGGTAATACACAAGATGGACGGAGCAGAAAAGGAGCCAAGGCTCGCAAGGAGCAGCGCAGTTACCTCGCAGGGAAAGCATCCGCTTCACCCCGCGAGCGCTCTCTCTCTCTCTCTCTCTCTCGCGACGAGATGAGGCGGTTGGGAAGGGCGGGCCTCACCAAGTCCCTCCCGCTCCATCATTGGCTCGCCTTTCCCCCTTATTTGCATGTCTCGCAGCCGTCTTTTATGCTTGTTCCCCTACCACGTGACCAGTAGAGGCGGACGAGATTTCCTGTTTGAGGTCATGGGGAGGGAGGAGGGGGAGTAATTCTCGCGTCTTTTTCCCCCTCCCTCCTCCTTTCACCAACCTCCTCCCCTCCTCCCTCCCCGTTGTGGTCTCGCGCTGCCTGCCTGGCGGGGCTCTTGTCAGTTAGTAACAAAATGGCTGCGGTGGCAGCAGCTCTGCTCCTGAAGCGGAGGACGGAGGCTGCGGCGCCTGTAAGGAGGAGCGGGGGGCCGGCCCGGCAGCATCACTGAGCCCGGCGGCATTGCCTATCCCGCCAGCGGCCCAACCCTCCCTCCCCTTCCCCTGCATGCGAGAGCTCCGTCCGAGGAGCCGTTCCTGCTGCCGCTGCATCCATAAATTTTCCCCCTTATTCCCCTAGAGAATCGCTCCGAATCCCTGTGGAGGGGAAAGAGAGCGAGCGCGGCTGCTGGATTCTGCTCTTAATTGGGTGGATCCCACTGGGAGAGAGAGAGAGATTGAGACTGACGAACCTCCTTATGAGAAACTCAGCTGTTGGATCGCCCCGGGATCTCTGGATCCTGTCCCTGTGAGAAAGAAAAAGACTGCATTTCGCCTTCTTTTCTGGATCCACCTATGCTGGGCTTCGCTGGGTGGATCCCCATGAAAGAGACTTGTGGACCCCCTTCTCAGCACGAAGCCCACCTTCTGGATCCTTTTAGGATCCCTGTATGTGAGAGAAACTGCTGGAGCTCCGTTCCTTGGATCCACATGTGAAAGGCGCAGCTGGTGGATTTCCCTGGCTCTCTTGTGGATCCTTGCCTTCTGAAACACTGCCTGGATTCTTCTCCCCCTTGGATCTTCATGAGAGAGAGACAGAGAGACTGCTGGATCCCTTTTCTTCTTGTGTTCCATGTCTCTCCTACCATTTTAAGAGAGACTCGACTAGGTACAGTACTTCAGCTTGGATGCGTATGTGAGACTCTTCTGGACTCCCTTCTCCCCCCCTCAACCCCCGTGGCTCTTTTTTTGTTTGTTTGTTTTTCCTGAGCTGTGCCCCTCAACTTTCGGAAGGGTTCAGTTGTCTCCGTTTTAATTTGCACTTTGGAAAAAAAACGAAATATCCTGATCCTCGTCCGTAGGAAGTAAGACTTTCCCGACGCTGATTTTTAAAAGCCGTATTCTGATCAACTGCAAAGCATACCATTTTTGACTCTGGCATCCCGACAGGTTTGTTTTTTTTTTTCACCCCAGCAACCACGTACGTTTAAATTTTTGAAAAGCAAAACTCTGTGTGCAAAACTAGCTGAGGACTCCTAGCTGCTAGTTTTGTTTCACTGGAAGTCAAATATAACAATCTTTTATTTTTATTTTTTAATTGGACCTGCATCTGCTGCACTTAACTCCTCCTCTGGGCTGGAATCAAACTAGAGCTTTTAGCTCTTCTACTTGGATACTGTTGATTTCTTGTCTGATTTCCCTAACCCCCTCCCTCCGCCTTTGTGGCAGATTATTTTTGGTGTTTGTTTGTGTTTTTTTAATTTGGAACGGGCATAAATATAAAAAAAGTAAAGCAAAACAGACTTTCTTGGCCGTGTGAGATTTTTTTCGTATTCAACGTGAAAAAAATACGGGTACTTTTTGTAAGAAAAAGCATTAAAAAAAAGCAAGGAGCACGCTAGTGAAACTCCCAGACGTCAGACAAAATATTCATTTGTTCTTTTTCAAGGAGACTGAGTCGAAAGCTGCCAAAGAGCCCCAGAAGGAAACAAGCAAAGGTAAGAGGAGGGTCATCCCCTTCTCTTAATATGGAAGCAGGAAGAGTTAAAAATGGCAAAGACCTTCTAAGTAGTTTGATGCATGCAGCTCTCTGTGCCATAGGTCCAGATCAGGACTCTTTACTGAAATATATTTCACAATATAGTTTTAAAATAATAAATCCATGGAGGTTGTTTTGTATTGTATTGCAAGCTATTAAATTCAAGAGGTGAAAGTTTACTAGGAGGGTACCTCTACAGAGCGAGAACCTAGCATTTTGGGGGGAATATTTGGTATTTAGTTCTCTGTATCTCCAAGACAAAAAGCCAATATAGCATTTATGAAAAAAAACAAGAAATGTTAAATTAGAAAAAAAGCATTAATCCTGAATTAGGGTGTGCATGCTGCTGACATCTTTCATTGCCTTGTGAAGTAATGTTTGGAAAATACTGTAGTGATAATTAGCTTGGCAATTTGTCTTGCTTTAAGTGTGGCTGGAATGGAAGGACTGATTGCATGTAACAAAATGGACAAAACTTAAACTTCATCCTTGATTACCTATAGTCAGCTGTTAAAAGATGACTGGATCCTTCTTGCTGCATTTAAGAATAACTACAAAAGTAGATTTCAGACTTCGAGTGAAAGTTTATTAAATATATTGGAAATATCTTCCCTTTCATTTATGTCAAAAGCTAAGCTCCTTTGAAGTCCAGTAATTCATGCATGGCTTATGATTTCTCAAAACATAGAAAAGATTACTGTGGTTCATTTAAAATAAAATATATTGGTAGGTAGTCTAGATTGGCATTTGTAATGTCTTTCCCCCCCATTTATGATTTAGGGTCACATGCTAGGAGACTTGTTAAGATCCATGTATACAATAGCAAACAAAATATTTCTGTAGTACTTGTCACATGTTTATAAATCTAATCCATAGATAGTAAAATATGGGATGACATTAAAACCCACAGTGGGAATAAGGGAATAAAGACTAACATGCAACACTGTATTTGATAATTATGGAAATGCTTTTAAAAGCCTATAATATAATTATTTCCACATTGTGATACTCACTTCTATCTTGATTGCCTCTGTTTTGTGTGATTGTTCATATACACATGTAACAAGTACTTACATTCAGAATTCAGATAGCAAAAAAGCTGAATAGTTTCTGACATGGAAACACTCATGATTTCATTTTTGTTTTCATGATGGCTTATTGGTATTTGCAGTCCTCATTTCAATTCTTGATTTTTTTTTGTTTAGTTGGTCTGTCTGCCTTTTAATATCCAGTTGTGATTCCACCTGTCAAAACTCCTTCAGAGATTTTTAACACTGCCTCTACAGTTAAAGATTTGTTTTATACTTACAGTTGGTGGTATACATTTCTTACATATATAATTCAGTTATTATACTGTGCAGTTTTTCTTTCACTATGCAGAATATTTTCTCCATTGGTATCTTTTCAAAATAAAGATGTAACAGAGTATAATATTTTTGCTACATCAGTTTAAAAACAGTGCACACATTTTCTATGACAGTTCTTAGTTTGGCAGCTTAGTTATAGACATTGAATGTAATTTGGACTGACCTAATAAAAATTGATGTATTGTGGTTTCAGAAACAGTGATGTTTTCTACTTTTTTACCTGACTTATGCACATATCAATGATACAGTACAGGTTATGAAAGAAACACACATTAGGAAGTGGATTTTTAGTCATGAAATATGCAGAGTAATTCTGGTGCATTCTTGGTTTCTGGTGTGGGTGTGCTCTTATTATTGCAAAGGTGACAGTTGCATTGGGCAGGAATTAAATAGGCTCAGTGTATGGTAGGTCTTCTAGGGCCCTTTTGGTGTAAGAGGGAAAAATCCAAGTGTGTTCAACTTTCCACCATCCATTTAATTCCTCTTCATTTTGAAAGAGCGAGTGGACAAGTGACTGTGAGTGACTGACCAGGGCAAAGGGGTAATCTTGGAGTTTTGGTGGATAGCTCAATTAAAATCATCTCAATGTACAACAGCTGTAAAAAAACATGAATTCCATGCTGGGAGATCACTAGAAAACAGAATAGAAAATACACCTGCCAGTACTATAATATCTGTATACAAATCTGCGTAACCACACGGCAGATATTAGAGACGGTTCTGTCACTGTATCTCAGCCGGAAGATGAAGAACATAAAGAATGAGACAACCAGAATAATCAGAGGGCTGGAAAAGCTCCTCTATGAAACAGTGTCTGGAGCTCTTTCTTACGGGGGGGAAAAAGGGCAAGTAAAAGAGGACATGACAGAGATCTCTGAAATTGTGAGTGGTGTGTTTCTTCCAAAACTCAGCTTCACACAGTGCACAGTTAAGCTATGGAATTTGCTACTCCTATAGCATGATAGTCGTTAGCCACCAACTTAGATAGCTTTAAAAGAGGTCAGAACAAATTGATAGTGGCTAATACTGTACTACATATAGTTTCCATATCAGATGAAGCATGCTTTTGAACACCAGTTGCTGGGAAACAACATCATGAAAGGTCTATTGCCTTCATGTTTTGTTTGTGGGCTTCCCATAGACATCTGATTGATCCCTGTGGGGAACAGACTGCTAGACTAGATAGGCCTTTGGTCTGCTCTGGCATAGCTCTTCGTATGTTCTTATGTTGACAAACTCACGGCATTACATTATCATACATGGGATTTGTTTTTGTTTTCTGTCTCAGTGTTGTAAACTTGGTTCTCCAATATTTGTGTTTCTGAATATTATCCCAGTGTTAGTTTATTCTTCAGCTGAGGGAGCTGGTCAAGGAAGTGCCCTCCTAAGACTTCAGCTCTGAATTAGTGTATCCTTTTTGTTATGGTTTGAGGAGATGCCCAATATTCCTGAATAGATAAGGAAAGCTGCTGTCCAGGGGGACATATGCAAGGTGAGGAAATAGGTCATGCTTTTATCTTTTGCCTGGTTTCTCTAAGAAGCTCTATCCTAATGTGATCCTAGGTAGAAAAACCTGGTTTTGACCTCATTGTATGCTCCTATTTCCTATAATAACAGTGCAAGAATCCAGTATTTTGAAAATCTGTTTCAGAAAAAAAAAACTTTGTGAAGGTCTACAATGATGATGTTTCATAAATAGGCTGAAAGAGCTACCTGATTTATCTTTTCTGACCAATACCTTACCCCCCCCCCCATTGCTGGGATGAAAATAGCTTTCATAATTATTTTTGTAATTCTTGATTCGTTCTTGAAGTGGGAGCAGGTGTATGCTTTGACAATGGATGTTAATCCTCTTGGGCAGACAAATATTAGGATAGTAATTAAACATCTCAGCATTTTTTCCTGCTTTAAATATTACATTCCTTCATATTCAGTGTGTCATATATTCATGGATCATAAGTTCAGTGTGGAAAAATCAGAGTTTTGAGGTGTTTGTGTTTTCTGGTGTGTGTGCTTGCATTGGATCTTCAAACAGTTCAGCAAAATGTGAAAACAGCAAGTAAACAACATTTCAAAAGTTTTATTTTAAGACATTGCAAAATCTTTTTGCATATGAAAATAGTTGGTGTAGTGAAACTTACAGTCTTGATTGTATTCTTCTTTACTACCATTTAAAAATGCAAACATATTCCCGTCTGCAGAGAGGTCAATTTTATTTACAAAAAAGAGGGTTTCCATAGTAATTCTCAATTCTGAAACACTTAAGGATGTAAAAAAAGCTTTAGAAATACAGTATACCTGTTTAAACTGTGTCATGGACATGATTTGGTACTCAGAATGTTCATGATATAGGAAAGAGAGAGAGAAGGTTCCTGTTTGAGGGAGACTGGATAAAACTTTGAAATTACATTTAGTTGCTCCATGCAGCTGGTCTTGTTGAGATAAATATGCACTTTTCCCAATGCTGTCATCTGGCTCCTTTCCAAAACAAGCTGGAGGAGGAGGTCAGGGGTGGGGCAGCCTTCCCCTTCAGCAAAGGAAGGCTTTCAGATGGAAAGAATTGCTAAAGAAATTCCTTATGAGAACACTACAGGTCCCACCTCCTTTTCTATTCATAAAGAAATATATGCAGATTATCTGCCTTTCAAAATGTGTTACTGATACTGCTTATGTCATTATTTCATAGAAAACCATTTAAAATGTTTAGATTGTGAATCTCCTCAGCTGTACTGTATGAAGTGTAGAAGTTTATTGAATTGTGTGCTGCCTTGGAGTCACATCACATCATTTCCATTGTAAGTTGCTCTTGGCTTGTGATGCTGCTTCATCAGCATCAAGCTTGTTTGTTTATTTTAAAAAATGGTTAAAATTCGGATGACAAGATAATGTCGTACTGGAACATTTCCCCCCTGGTCTTGAAGCTGCAGGAAAGAATTCATCAGTCTATTTTAGTACTAGAGATGAATGATAAGAAACCTCTTAAGTGCCCAATGCTGCTGCAGTCTAGCCAATTTAGTATCAGCTGATGCCTTCTGGTGATAATGGCGAAAGGTTTTCAGTACTTTTGTGAAGATACCAGCTAGGTCAAAGAGAATGTAAAGACCCAAGACATTTTACTGAATTGTTATACGCTCTGGAAATTGCAAACTGAATTACAGAATTGCTTCTCAGTCCTGGGTAATCTTTGTGTTTAGTGGATAAATATAGCACATTGTAGAGCAAGATGAATCATCCATGCTGTTTTATTTCACAGTCCAATCAGACCCATTTTGAATTGGAAGGCTGGTCTGTTGATTTCAGTGGAACGTGAGTTGAAGTACTTAGGCAGGGATCCAGAGAGCACAAAATACTTCTGCACTGAGAAGAGGAAGTGATTGACATTTACTTCAGGTGTTATGTCTTCGTTCCTCACGAGAGGCAGCTCTGAAGAGCCCTCTCATCTTTGTCCTGTATGGAGAGGGCCTCTGGGAGAGGAAAGCTGGACAGCTTTGTGTGTGCAGAATGCTGCTTGATGCTTTGAATTTTGTCCAAAATTCCATAATTTCACTATAAACCTTTCCATTCAGAAATACGCTATGCCTCTTAACAAGCA